CATCAGTAGCCCATCTGCGATCAACTCTCCTACTTTCCCCCCAACCAGACGTACTGCCTGAAGCGCCAGGGTCGCGGCGGTGGAGCGCCGCCACTTAATTTTCAATCCGAAGGTACTTCTCCGCAAGATTATAGAATTGGATGAGAGAAACATCGTCCTCGGCCTGTAGCTCTTTCCACAAGTCGGTTTGTGGATGAACTCCTGCTATGATGAGAGTCCGAACAGACTCTTCGGGAGTATAAGCTAACTTGTTGAGTTCTCTATGAAATCGGTCAATGTAAGACTGGAGGGATTTATCCTTTTCTTGCCTTATATTGCTGAGGTAGCTCAAAGGCATTGAGAACTTTCAGTTCGCTTAGAAGTGCCTCAGGAACGTCGCGCTCATCTGAGGCCACGAACTGATCGATCCCGCTGAGAGCGACCTTAACCACCGTTTGGCATGAAAGGTTAAAGTCACTGCCAAACAACGGCATTTTGCTAGATCTGAGACTTGGTGAAGCTCCATCAGGTCGTTGAATTCATATAAATGATCCTGCAGGTCAGAATTTCCATCGAACGCCAGCATGTCGAGCATCCTGAATCTTGATAAGAGTGGAGCAGCTAGCACTTTGGGAGAGAAGGGGGACGCAGAAGTGACCTACCCTTGCTCATTTTGCTAAGCTCTTAGTCAATCTAGAGCTTGCTGCAGTTCTTCAATTTGAGGCAATAGAGCCACTTGGGGATTGCTTTCACCCGTGCGAGTTCGACCCTCGCGATTACGATTGAGGAAAGTCCAGAGGTCAGATTCCTCTTCGCCTCAGCCGGCGGCCCCGGCCGCTCTCGACACACGCTGGCTAGAGGCGTGTGATGGCGATGAATGATACGGGGTATTTTCACGACCTTCGTGGTGGTACGAACCACCCCGCAAAGTGTGGGAACCTCCCGCACGATGACGATCATGATCGTTTTGCTGGTAGTGATAAGAATCGCCCTGCCCAGCACTTTTATGGGAGTGTACCTACGACGTGGCATGAGACAACTCGGGATGCGTCTTTTCACCGAGTCTTAACTTCATTGGTATTCTACTCGAGACGCGGTCGGTGTTCGCCGGCCCTTTGGAGCCCATAGGCCCATTTTTTGCCACTTGCTTACCCTTTCGTCGATGCGCTGCAATGCTCGCGACACGGGCTATCTCCCTTTGCTGCGCTTTCACGTGACCTGCAGGCGTTTTTGGCGGTTGCACCGCCCCAACTGATTTTGGTGGCACGCCTTGGTCCAAACGGTTAACCTCCAACCTTCGGTTGACCGTTTGGAGAGTATTGTCAAACCTCTCCAAGTAGCTTCTAATGGCAGGGTCAAGTTGTGAGCTTGATGGGATATCCACCGCGACATTTTGCGGAACCGAAGGTATCTCAGAAGAGGTGTCCTCCTAGACTTGGGGTATCCCTTCAACACCCTGGTTGGTTCGCTCAGGTTCAGGTTGGCGGGCCATTTGCTATTGTAGGACCAGTAAGTTAGAGATTCTCCTAATGAAGGATGAACACTAAATTAGGCCCCTCCTTCTAGTGTCAAATTGTTGATGCGTGATTTAAACACCAACGAAACACGTGTGAAATGCTGAGCTGGCTCAGAAGACACACGTGAATGCAAGAAAGTGAGAGTAAATGCAATGGGAATGGCTTTTAAAGTGGTTCGGATGCTAAGGAAGCAAGTCCTACGTCCACTGATTTTTGTATTAATGATAGGGGTCAGGTCGCGTTAGCAGACTGACTTACAAATGATAGTACAAGAGTGAATGTTATATATTCTTGAGAGAGAGAGAGTAGCTAATCCTTTAAATGAGAGAAGAGCTCTCAATTTATAGTGGGATGGATTAAGGTTATCAATGCTGAATCTGTGAGTTGGTGGGATTATCCATGCAAATCCTTCTTTATGTCCCATTGCCCACTTTCCAGAGTGATTTACGCGATTTGGTGCAGGAATTTGGACATGTGGAGGTTTTCTAGCTCCTGGCTAGTCTGACGCACACCCACTGCACTGACAGGAGCATGCTGCCCCTCTCCTCACGTGACTCAGCTGCGGGTGTACCCATGTTCTGACTTTTGCACGCTAACTAGACCTTACGTCAGCCCTGAATTCTTTAGTCATAACAATGGTTTTCCTCTGTTTAATTCCTGAGGAAGTTGATGAAAAACAAATAAAATTATTCAATTAGCCTAAATTTTTATTTTATCTGGACTACTTTTCTATTTCTTTTGTAGGGATCCTAAAATTAGAACAGATAGAAACTATAAATTCTTGTTATACTTAGTTTCTCTGTTAATGTGTTAATGTTTTTTTGAGTCTTGTTTTCATGGTTCATTAACAATTAATTTTGGATGAAGTTAACATAGCTCATAATTCTGAACATAATTTGCAATGTTGTTTTAAATCTATGAGCAACAATTGTTATTATTTGTATGGTTGTAATAGGAAGTGCTATCGTGATTTAGATTCTGCTGGTAATTTTAGGTGATAAATGGAGTTAATTAAATTCTATGCTGGTGGAGGTGAAGAAGAAGAAGAAGAAAAGAGAAGGAGACGAACGACGGCGAAGGTGAAAGAAGAAAAGAGTGGAAGAAGAGAGAAGGATATTTTCGTTTTACATTTACTAATAGATCTCGACGATGGGTGGGAAAGTGTCTTTTTGAAACTTTTCGGGTGAGAAAGTATCTTTAGGCCAAACCTTTGTGATTTGTTTTATGATTTGATAATATCAAAGGAGTTTTAAAAGTTTCTTTAGGCCAAATCTTTATATTAATAGTGTCATCTCATGATATATGTAATTATTGATTTACAATATGACATTATCAATTTCATGTTGTTTAGGAATACTTTTTATTCTTTGACTGTTTTGTAATGTCTTTTTTTTTTTTTCCAATATTTCATACATTTGTCTAATATATTTCATACAAATGTATAGAGGTTTCTTAAGTTATGAGTTTCACGACATCTAAGTGATTATATTGTAAGGAAACTAACTTATATTTCATACATTTGTCTAACTTCCTTCAATTTGCTCTTGTAAAGAATAATAGAAAAGATTTTGCATCGGTATACATATTTGATTTTGAAGGGCTTCTTATTCCAAAGGAGAAACCAAGTTTGTTCGGATGTTAAAGGAGCTAACTTTTGTCTTCCTACCAGAGATGACACAAACATGGAACTGTAACACTCAATTCATGAGCCTTCATAGAATCAAGTCCAAAGAGAACATAATTACAAAACATTTTTGTTTTAGAAATATGGAGATAAGTTTTTGCTTTAATTTAGTGGAGATTTCAAGAAGAAGGAAGAAGAAAAGCTCTTAGAAAGGAGATAGTATTGAGTAACAAATATCACTCCAAATTTACCACAATTTCCCTATATTTGAGACTTGACATTTATCTTTTTGCAATAATTTTTTAACCTATTTACAACTTCCATGGACAAAAGTTGTAGCCCAGAGGCAAGGACTAGCATGGGATGTGTGACTCTCTTAAATTATTTGTTTTTCAGCACATCCCTACCATTTACTTGAACTGGAAAATTACTCTATGATCTTAGATCCAAATAATAGGGTTAAAATTATATCTAGATATAGATCGGATCAAGAAATGGTGAACTAGATTTTTTGGGTCAGTTTTGGGTGAAGTGATAAGATATGATGAGTGATCATAGACAATTGAGCAACCATGTACCAAGACTTTCTTTTGACCAAATACTATTTTACATGATGAGTAAACAATTTTTTCCCACCCAAATAATGGCTTAATGACACTTTCCCACCCACAGATTTTTAAAATACAACTTTCTTACCTATATTTATATTCCGTTTTAGATTCCAGCATCGTTGCAACATCAAACCATCACCATTTTCTTCCCTGATCACTCACATAAACCCCTCAAATCCTATTACCGCTAACCTCGTCTATCACCGGCAATAGAATGATTAAGGTTTGCATAACCGCCACTTCCAAGTCAAATTCCAATCAATCTCAACAAACAAAATCCAACATTCCACCACTAAAAGACTCATTAGCCTCCCCTCTTCAAAAGCCCTAACAGTCTAGATCGAGTTTGTTCTCTGTTCACCGTCGAAATATAAATTTAGGTAGTAAAGTTGTATTTTAAAAGTATGTGGGTGAAAAAGTATCATTAAGCCATTATTTTGGTGAGAAAAAATGGTTAACTCTTTTCATGTTTCCATATCATTAAATACTTGTTTGTATTAAATCTTGATGATTTGAAATACGAGAGAATTCAAATCCTCCATTTATTTGGATGGTTTCCATCTCCAATTTGTTTTGATCATTACAAGTTGTATTCAAGTACATCCCTACCATTTACTTGAAAAGGAAAAATACTCTGATCTTAGGTCCAAAAAAATGGGGTTAAAATTAGATCCAAGTATAGATCGGATCAAGAAATGCTGAACCAGATTTTTCGGGTCGGTTTCAGTCTTACCCGAAACCGACCTGAACCCCATTTTAATTTTAAAAAAAAAATTATGGGTCACATAAATAACTTACTAAACACATTCCCACAAGCATTAGGTCAACATTACAAAACAATGGCGGCTCAGAATTGAACGCTGAAGGCTCTGTATTCAGCTTCAGCCTTCGTAGTCTTGGCATTGGCAGTTTGAATTGAAGAAGTTTCCGGGATGCAGTTTAAAGTTTACTAAGTCGAGTTCATTATGTTTCGTTTTCTTTGTAGAACAAAAACAAAAGTAATTGCTGATAGGGATTTTGCTCTGAATCTCACCACTACTCAACTGGGTTTTTCTCAAAACAAGATTTTCCCTCTTAGGTTTCTGTCATCATCTTCGCATTTAGAGAAGAGATCGTTAAAAACTAAACAAACTGAACAGGAAGAGTCTTTTACCGTTTCATACCTGTTAAACTCATGTGGGTTATCTTTAAAATCTGCTGTTTCTGCTTCAAAGTATCGTCAATTGAAGAACACTGAAAGAGCGAACTCAGTCAGGTTTCTCAGCGACCATGGTTTCACCAAAACCCAGATCTGTAAAGTTGTTATCTACGAGTTTAAAGAATCGTCTTATCCCCAATTACAATTTCCTCAAGAATGTTGTCATTCAGGACGAAAAAGTTTTCACATTTTTGAAGCGCTCGCAACGGCTATTTTTACTGGACTTAAGAAGTAAAAAACCTGGTCCAAATATAGCTCTTTTGAAAGATATTGGTGTGCCTCAATCTCAAATTTCTTATTTGGTGACTAATATCCCAAGAGCAGCATGTTCCAAACATTCCAAATTTTGCAAGGTTGTCAATCAGGTTAAGGAAATGAGATTCCATCCCACCCAAACTGTGTTTGTTGTGGTAGTTGGAGTAATCAGCGAATTAAAGGAATCGGTTCGGGAATCTAAGTTTGAGGTTTATAGGAGGTGGGGTTGGTCCGAGGATGAGACTCTCGCTGCTTTTAGAAGGCATCCCTGTTTTATGACAAATATCTGAGGAGAAGATTACAAGAGTTATGGACTTCCTTGTGAACAAAATGGGTTGGCTGTCGCGAGATATTTCCAAATGGCCAGAAGTTTTCACTTACAGCTTGGAGAAGAGGATTGTTCCAAGGTGTTTTGTAATTCAAGTTCTGCTATCCAAAGGTTGATCAGAGAATATAAATCTCCATCAGCTTACTTGAAACTTACAGAGAGCAAATTTATTGAGAAGTATATAACTCGATTTCAGGAAGAAGTACCTCAGTTGTTGGATGTGTATGAAGGAAAAATTGATTTCCTGGATGTGAATCCTGAATTTCAGAGGTCTGTAAAATGAAAGAGTTCACATAGAACTTTCTCTTTGCTAAAGGGTGTTTCTAATTTCTAAATTTTAGTTTTACCGAAGGGAAAATTGATTTACATGTATACTTCTTAGGTCTAAATTTGTTTTCTTGAGTCTAGCATGAAATTTGTTCTATGATCATATAATATCAGTGGGTCTAAATTTGTTTTCTTGAGTCTAGCATGAAATTTGTTCTATGATAATATAATATCAGTGAGTCAACTATACATACATATAAATAAAAAATCAAAGTTAAAAACGAGTGTGAAAATTGACCGTGGAGTTCACGCCGGTTGCTGGCCTGAATGTTGTCCCATCTCAATTAATTTCACTTTCAATTTCCCATTTAATCTACGTTTTAATCAAGATATTAAAAATCATAAAATAGAGAATAAACAAAGACTATTAAAGATTGGAATATAAAAAAGGAATAACATCAATTATTGGACTTACTATATATATGTGTGTGTGTGAGACAACTAATCTACTTTACCAATAATTTTGTAATAGCATCGATTGTCGCCGACCTTTTGTCGAACCGTTGGTGTGCACGCTTGGAACAGTGGAGGTGATGGCGTCGGGGTGTATCGGCGATTGGACAATCAACAAACAAACCACAAACATTTTAAATGAACCTTTCTCAATCGTCTTTCAACCCAACAAACACAAAAAACCGAATTAATCAAACCCAATTCATCAATCAAAACTTGAAAAACCTTAGGGTGGGGAAGCTTCAATCGCCAGTGCTTGGTGAGCAAACAGGATCGGGAATGTTGGAGCTTTTTTAGAGGAATAGCCGGTGAGTCTATTGGTGGTGACAAGGACGATTTCCAGTGACGAAATCGACTGGAAAAGAAAACAGTTCTCAAAAACCAATCAAGTCTCCGATTGACGAACGGCGGGCAAACATGGGTGGGACGGAAGTGGGTTTTAGCGAGGGAAGTGGGAGAAGTATTTTAATGGTGGTGGGAGAGATCGACAACACCAGAAAGCCAATTTGGCCTTGGTTGGCGATTGAGATAGGGTGGGTTATTATGGGAAGAAAAGCGCCATGCCAACTAGATTAAGGACAATTAGGCCAGGGAAAAGGCACAATCGATGAATGGGAGAAGATTCAGTCGGATTTCATGAAAAAACCAGATGAAATCATATTGAACCATCACCGATTTCCTGTGACCCACAACCACCGCGTGGTTGCCGTTTTCAGGCCATTTTTTGCCTAAATCAAGCGTCGTTGAGCCTTCCCATCACCACCAAGATACTCACTAGCACTCCCTCACCAAAACACCTCCCACTCTCGTGCATCTAACCCCTCCATTCGCTAGCCACCGCACACGATTGGTTCACATGATTCTTGCCCTTTTGAGACCATCAATCAATTCACTATCCCACCTCCAAAACCCTTAACCTTCCCAACACCAATTGCACGATGTTCACCACTCTTCACCACGTAGGGTTTTGCTGTTTTTGCACCGATTTTGCTTGATTCTTTGGCCAAAATCCAATCTTCCACCACTCTTTCAACCTCTGACCTCCCCTTTTCAAAACCCCTCAAACCCCAGCACTTGGTTACTCGCCATTCGTTGGTCGTGAATCACCACCCTTTTTCTTCGTTCACTGTTTTCCCAACAAGGTGAAATTTTAAATTGATCATCCTACCCTTCTTCACAGCGAAATTTACTAACCAAACTATGCTTTAGGTAGTAAAATTGTATTTTGAAATTTTTTAGGTGAAAAAGTGTCATAGTTCCTTCGAGAAACTCAATGGCAATCTTGATAACTTTATCGGGTGACGATATCTGTTTTTAAAACCGGACCGATCCGACTGAGACTCAGCAACTTCTCCAGTCCGGCTCAAGTCTTAGGGGGGTTTTTATAATATTTCAAAATTATAAGGGTTAATTCGTTATTTTATAGGGGTGTTTTGGATATATGTCAAAAGTTTAGGGATTAATTGGTAATTTCTTGGGGTATTTTTGAAATAAATAAAAATTTTAGAGACTAATTTTAACTTTTAGGGGAATTTTTGAATATATTAAAATTTGAGGGATTAATATGTAATTTTTTAAAAATAAAATTGTTGTTGACGTCATCGATCCAACCGATTGGACCGGTTGACCCGTGACCCGGGCAACAAAACGGGTTACCCTCCGGCCCGGGTTTTAAAACAATGGTGACGATATGGTTAATAAACAATCAAGTCAAGATTTGACTATTCAAGAAATTCTAATTTCTCTCTTTTTAATTTTGAGTCTTGTGTGTTTTACAGTAGTATGCAAAATGCTTGCAATTATTAGAAAATAATTTGTAATCGCCAAAGTCTCGTTTTCTTTGGAGAATCTCAGTTGCAATTCTGAGCGATATTGATAAACATATAGCTCACTCCCACTTAGGAAACAATCAAGGCAAGTTTTGATGATTCCATCATCAGTGTCCGAATTGTAGCCACTTTTTTGGCATGGAGAAGATGAATGAGATGAATTACCATGTCGTCGCCCACATATATTCCTATATATATAATTACAAAATACATCAACAAATTATGGAAACTCAAAAGAATAGTGAATGAAAACTACTTACTATGATGATGGTAGACACCTCCCATCCTTGGACCACAGATATGATCACCCAGTTTCAACTTAGACCGAGTAGTGCTTAGTTTTTTTCCCATCTAATTTCTCTATTTCAAGTTGTGGTTATATAAGTTATTTACTTGGCAATACAAACATTTCTCAACAATGGATAACATATATATATATATTCACACACACACACACCCCTAGGGCTCAAAATCCAGCAAAGCTAAAAACTGTTTATGATAAAAGTTGCACAGACAAGGAGTACATTGCTTTATATTAATAGTTACATTATAAGTTTGTGGAAATGCAAAAGTTGAATTTTGAACCCATATATATATATATATATATATAATCTAATTCTGACCGGTTAAAACGAGTTAACCTGACCGGCCCGACTAAGCCACTCGTTCCCTGTTCAATTGGTTAAACCGATCAGGTCGGGTTAGGTTTATATATATATTATAATAATCTAATTCCGACTCGTTAAAACGAGTTAACTGTTATTCCTGACCGGCCCGACTAGCCACTCTTTCTGTTCATGATAAAAGTTGGATAGACAAGGAGCATATTGCTTTAAAACCTTGAGTTGAACAATTCTTCAAATCTTAGTGCTTGCATCAGAATCAGATTCTAAATATAATTCTCTTAAAATTTGTAATCAAATTCGGATCTATTCGGACTTGAGAGAGTTTATGATAAAGGTACCAAATCAACATTATCGGAAAGGTATAACATGATTCCGATGAGTGTACAAATTTGTCAAAGCAAAGAGGTGGAAATTGCTATCGAAATATAGAATCTAAAAATCTAAGTTAAAGAGTAAAAATTGACCATCGTGCTGGCTTGAAAGTTTGTACCATATTAACTAATTTCCCTTCTGTCTAATCAAACCATTACAAATTCATAAATAAATAGACACTGGAATATAAACTTAAAGAATTGGAATTTCACTGTAAAGGAATTGCTCGACAGTAAAAGTTACATCATTAACTTTTAATAATGGCCCAAATAATAATAATACACAAGGATGGAAAAAATAAAAATAAAAACTAGCAGTCCGAGTGTCACAATTCTTTAAATCAAGATTTTGAAACCCGACCCAAGTTGTCACTCGGCCAAGGGGCCAAATCCTGGGTTGACCGGTCCAACCGGTTAAACTAGCAGTCTGTCAGTGATCCAGAAGTTTGAAATCTTGCAAATACCCCCTGAAGATTGCAAAGCAGTCCCTATAAGTTTAAAATCTAGCAAACACACCCCTTTGACAATTAGGGCTTTGATTTTTCCAACCAAATTTCGCCTTATTCGACGGCCAAACTTCAATTTAACACCACCACTTAAACCACTAGCATCTACTCTACGAAACCCCTCTAACCACAATACTTGGTAACCCCCATTCGCCGACCGTGACTCGCATATACCATGCGATTGGTTGATTTTTTTGATCAAATTCCAACTGATTTCGACATTCAAAATTCACTCTGACACCACCCCTTGAATCACCAACATCCACTCTACAAAAGCTCTCTAACCCTGACATTGGTAGCCTCTTGTTCGCCAACAATCAGGTTGGAGATTTTGAGGATAGTTGAATTTTGTAACCCGACTTGATGAAGCCCTCGAGTCCCAGTTCAACCGGCCGGGCCGGGCCAAGTTTTAAAACCTTGATTTAAATACACTGGAGACAAATAATTTTCAACCATTCACATACAAGATTAACCTTTTAATAATTCTTAAAAAAAATAACCCTTTAACATAACAAGGCACACTGCAGAGTTCCAAGGCGATTAAAGGAAAACAGAATGATAAGAAAAATGCACAGTAAACAGAAGCAAAGAACTACGGCGGTCAATAATAGTAAAAAATAATGTATGGCTTAACCCTATGGTTAGCCTAATGCACACACAAAATCTAACAAATGTAGCTTTGTCCTACCACATAATTTTAGGGGAAGCAGAGTAAAATAAAACATTATGGTTCTCCAACAAATTTAACTCCGTTTTTACCAGCCAAATTTTCTAAAATTTTAAGGTCTCGATTATGAAAAACTAAGTCCAACTGCCTTGACTAGTAACCATAGTTTGAACCATAGACTGA